AGCGAGTTATAAAATTAGCGACGACAGAATGCCGATTATAGACATAAAGCATTAGAGGTTTATCAATGTGATAAGCTGATAACGACATTTCAGTCTCTAGCTGACATAACGTTGTTTAGCTTGGAAATCAGAATCTCGTTGGCAGCTATTTCGTTCTTTTAGCTGTAAATTGTGGAGGTTCTGACCTTTTTTAACTTCATCTAGTTTAGTTTTTGGTCAGGCAGGTCCATGAAACAGCTGCAGTTAAGAACTCTTGATATAGCCCTGGCGGATGACATAATCTAGTCGTTTGTTATCCTGATTCATTTGTATACCCTTATGTATTTTCTGTACTTCTGCCAATGTCTCATTGAAATATTCAGTTTTAAGCATTGATATCCCATACAACATAAAAGTGGTTTATTTTAGCATAAAGCAGTTTAAATATCTGATAATAGACCGTTATCAGTATTTCGGCTTCAAGGTGAAATGGGTCGTTTTCGCTTAATGTTAATATTGCTTTTTGAGGCAGCCCAAGGGATTTGCGATTTTCTATAAATGTGATGAGTAGATACACTTTGGGGCATGCAAAACCATAATCTGCATTCAACTTGTTTGACTTAAACTACACTCTCTTCTACGATTGCTCCAGGAGGGATCCGGGTAGGAACAGACTGGACCATCTCTTGTTGAAAACCTCTTTAAGCTTTGTCAACGCATGTGATGAGACTACTGTAGATTGTCCTCAGTGAGTTCCCACGTTATTTAACGCTACTTTCGGATGCCATCAGTCATGATTTCTTTGTTTATGAAGGCAGTAGCAACATTTGCAGGTCAAGCACAACCAGATGTTTCTTTCATACTTCCGAATTATTAAGGTACTATTAAAGCTAATGAAAGCATGGGACTGTTTCAACTATACTTGAAAAATTTTTGAAATCTCATGTATGAATGTTGTTCCGTACATTAATGCCATAAAAATTTAGGTGATCTGTATGAACAGTGTTCGTCAGTTTGGGTATATTTTACAGAATGCGCAACTCTGTCGACCAAATCCATCCTGTTTCGTTTGCTCGCATATGCCTGAAGTATGTTAATTTTTCAATA